TGTTATAGTGGCTATGTCACTGGACTCCCATGTAGTCTACTGCAGTTCAAGTCCTGGACCCGGTGGCATAAACTCACGCTGGGCGTGTGTGCGTGCGTGCCCAAGATCCCAGGAGGAGAATGAAGGAGAAGGGATTGCAGCGTGGCCATCTCCCTGGGAGGGGGGTGTGATTTCTCGCTTTCTGTCTCTCGCTCTTTCTCTGTCTGACGAGAGTACACGTGCCCTGTAGCAAAAACCTCTAAAAAAAAAAAAATCCTTGTAGTTCTGCCTGTGTTAGTTTTTAGGCTCCTTGAAGGTGCGCGCCACTATAACCCTTGCCTCCCACATCATCTGACATGTAGCCCCGCTTAGCAACTACTGAGTGACGCAGTTGGTAGTATGTCCTCGGGGTGGTTCATTCTTTGCTGAAAGAATATTAAGTACAAGGGGAAGCTACTGAGGGATATATTTCTAAATGAGAACTTTTGGTAACTTGGTCTCCCGATAGCCCAGTGCAGTAAGAATGAGGAATACCATCTCTTATTAAAGTTTCAAATAAAAGCTAATGACAGAAGAAATTAGAATAATTGGTAGTAACACGGGAATCTGTATCACAGTATAACCACAAATTTCTTTTTACATCTTTACTCACATTACACTGAGGAAGTAAGAGAATGCATGTGAAAACACAAACCGAAGGTGCAAACTAGACTTTTACTAATTCGAGAAAAACACCTTGCTCAGTGTATATTTATGAGCAGTTTTAGTGTAAATTCTGTGAGAAACTGCTTGTCTCTTGATGGAGTTGATGAGTACTTGTGTACGACTGCTGAAAATTACTGATGCTAGGGTTCACGTCAGTATAAGAGGAGAAGGAAGTCTGAGTCCTTTCAAGTGAGTTTTATTGCCAAAGTACTATCATAATAATTTATTTTTACGTGCCAGCGTTGTTTTTTGAGAGAGTGAGAGATTTTTGGTATAGGGCATGTGCACTCACCAGAGAGACAGATAGAAAGCAAGAAAACACTACGGGGGTGGAGTAGGGATGGCCACACCATAATCCCTTCTCCTCCATTCTCCTCTCAGGATCTTGGACATGCATGCACATGTGCCTAGCATGAGTTTTAAGTCGCCAGGTCTGGGACTCACACCACTATGTGGGAATCCAGTGACATAACCATTATGCCATCTGTTGTTCCCATGTGCTAGGGTTTTTATGAGTATTGCTGAGTAAGGAAACTGAGGCTCAAAGAGTGTAAGTAACTTGCCTAAGGATGTAAATGGTAAAAGAGCTCGAAGTGAAAACTTTTTGACACTGAATCTGTCCAGTTATGTGTTCACAGCTTACTCTAAGCCAACCTTCTTTGCTTGAATTCCTGTATTGGTCTTCCACTGGGTTTCCTCCTTTCTCCATGCAGTGGCCATCCTGAGTGACCTTCTGACAGCCTAAGTCAGGTCATAGCAGACATCTGCAATGGCTTTTGGCCACACTTAGAATGAAGTCCATATCCCTCAGTATGGTTCCTTATGTTCTCCTCTTTCGTGTATGTCTGAGGGATGACAGAACAAAGTTACACAACAGCGAGGTTCTCAGGGCCAGCAGATAACATGGTGGTTAAGGTGCTGGACTCTCATAGAACCGACCAGTTTGAACCCTGGACCCAGCGGCTTGAAAATCAAGCCAGGCATGTGTGTGTACGTGTTCAAAATTCCAGGAGGAGAAGAAAAGGAATTGTAGTGTGGGTGTTCCCCCATCCCCCGGGGGTTGATTTCTCAATTACCTCCCTCTCTCTCCAGAGCGTGCACACACTGTTTGACAAAACAACAACAAAAAAGAGTGAAGGTCTCTGTTTCGGTATTCTCTCCAGTGCCTGGTGTATAATTTGTACTGAACAAGTGAATGAGACTGCTTGCATCTATACAACCAGGGCTGTATTATAATGAAGGATAGTGTTGTGTTAATGGACATCAACATGTCACCTATTTGCGAAACCTGAGAATGAGGAATAATACAGAGCTCCTGAGCTAATGGGAGCCAGTTCTACTCTTGGATTCCATTGTGTGTCTTTGTAGCTGATGTGATCATGTCCTATTGTAGCTGCTGGGATTTTTTTGAAACTAGTTAAAAACACGTGTTTAGCATTATAGATTTAAGATGTGCTCATTATTTTAAAAACATGTTTTGCCTACATTTGAAGTGCTGTGATAATGTTTGGGTGATGGCATGATTTAAACTAAAATTAGCCGAAGCTAACACCATGAATTTGTATTTATTTTCCTTAATGTTTATTATAAAACTCTTGGTGGGGTGGGGACTAGAGTTTGTAACCATATCAGCTTGGACATGCATGCACATGTGCCCAGCATGAGTTTTAAGTCGCCAGTATTCAAGTAGTACCGTGAATTTAAATATCTGATGTTAATGCATTTGTCAAAATAGATTTCTGTGTGATCATTTATTTTAGAAATAGTACCATTGAATTGTGAGGTGTTACATAGTTCAGTATCATTGTATTTTATTTTGACATTAATAACTTTAACATGTTATTTTGTTTTCATCTTTCTTACCTGTTTCATCAGACCATCTCATAAAAAATCAAGGAATGTCCTCAGAAGAAAGTGTCTAACCAAGTGCTGTTTTAGCTGGCTGTTTTCAGGATCTGAAACATTATCTGATCGCTGTCCCTGACGATGAAGCCATAAGTGTAACTTGATTTCTAAAATTCTGTAATCTGCTTTTGATATTTCTAGAGTTTAATGGTTCCTTCTTAGGAGTTAAAATGCTGGTTTTATGTGATTTGTGTATAAATTAAGAAACATTTGCAACTTTGAGTGTCCGTTGCAGTCATCACTTAAAAGGTTAGCAGTAAAGTGCTCCTCTTCTGGAATTTTAACCTCTTAAATGTCCAGAGGAGCTCCAGGTAACCAAATTTAATTTTACAGGAAAAACCTAGTTAGTCGCCATGATCCTTCCAATGAATTTTTACCTCTCAGATTTTACTAATAGGTCTCACCAGAGCAACAACTTAACTGGAACAGTCCTGTGCAGCTGCTGAGACAAGTCTAGATTGAGCCCCTATTAAAAAGTTGATTGTAGGGACCAGCAGTTAGCGTAATGGCTATGTCGCTGGACTCCCATGTAGTCGACCGTGGTTCGAGTCCCGGACCCTGTGGCTTAAACTCACGCCAGGCACGTGTGCGTGCATGCCCAAGATCCTGAGAGAATGGAGGAGAAGGGATTGTGGCGTGACCATCCCCCCCTGGGGGGTGATTTCTCGCTTTCTATCTCTGTCTCTGTCTGTCTGGCGAGCGCACGCGCCCTATAGCAAAAACCTCTCCAAAAAAGAAAGAAAAAAAAAGTTGATTGTAGGTTTGTTTATTGATTAGACTAATGAATATGCATTAGCTGATAGAGACCTTATAGAAAATCCCATTTCTTGATTTGTATGGTCTGCCCTAACCTGGAAGAAAACTTGTTATCTCTGTTTTAGAGTTCTAGTATGATAGTGAAGAACCACCAAAAGATAAAACAAAACAAAAACAAAAGTGCTCCAAAGTCAAGGCTTGCCCTAGTTGTTTTTATATGTTTGAGGATTATATTGAATATAGATGATCACTGAAAAGTATTCATTTGATTTCTGTCATATGCCACTCTCTTCAGTTTGTTTTTCCTTTTTCTTTTTTTTTTTAAGAGGTTTCTGCCTTAAGGCAGGTACACTGCCAGAAAGACACAGAGAAAGAGCTAGTGAGAGGGGAAAGCGAGAAATCACCCCCCCGGGAGGGATGGCCACGTCACAAGCCCTTCTCCATTCTCTGGGATCTTGGGCATGCATGCGCACACACGAGCCCAGCGTGATTTTCAAGCACTTTCCTGGTGTCTTTAAATCAGGATATTTTTAATTAGGGAGTGATTTTATCTGTGGCCAGCTGTGACCTAGCTGTGTCTTCCTCCGAGTGTATCTAGTAAGGAGTAACACCTATTTTACTCCACAGGGTTGTTGTGAGGGTTTGATGCAAAAATGAAAATACTGTTTTGTAAATTGCTAAGTGCTGTATAAAGGCAAGTAATTTGTTCTTTACATTATTCGTTATCTCTAGATAGAGGTCCTCACTATAGAAATGATTTTCTTATTTCATAATTTATCCACTTAAAGAGATTCCATTCTATTGGGGATGTCTGTCAGTGTCAGATAAAAATAAATAATAGTTTGCAAATTATCATTGATTTCTATTACTGCCTTCAAAATGTGTCATAAGATCATCACTATTTTTAATCACAAATTTCATAGTCCGTCGCTACATTTATAAAAAGGGAAGAAAAGGAAAATCATGAATTTAATAGAGCTATGTGTTTTCATAAGATGGTTTTATTGTTTTGATCTTTTGAAGATAGTTTCCCTCATGATCTATTTCAGTAAAAAGGAGCAGTGGAATATATGATTCCCTAGTTTTCTCTGGAATGCAAGGGAAAGTTTTCTACCCTTATAAAATGCCTGATGAGGAGGGGCCTCTAGCAGTGTCTTATCTGTTTCCTTGCTCCACACCAAGTCTGACAGGCACGTCCATTTCCCCTCTTGTCAGGACTTCAGACTTGCCCTTCACTCTTGCCCTAAATAGGATCTGAGTAGCAAAGTAGTGGTCATTGTTTCTTCCACCTGCTTATACACACAGACCTATTGGCACGTACCTGCCTGGCTTTGTTTTGTTTTCTTATTTTTGCCCCCTTTTGTCTAGCTTGATCTTCAAACTTGACTAAATTTTCAAGCCTTGCCTGACAGCCTACACTTTTTTTTTTTTTTTAAGGTTTTTGCTATAAGGGCGCATGTAGACAGAGAGAAAGACAGAGAGAGACAGAAAGGGAAAAAATCAGCCCCCCACCCCAGGGGGGATGGCCACACCGCATTCCCTTCTTCATTCTCCTCTCGTGATCTTGGGCACGCATGCACATGCACTAGGCGTGAGTTTAAGCCACCGGGTCCGGGACTCGAACCGTGGTCAACTACATGGGAGTCCAACGACATAGCCATTACACCAACTGCTGGTCCTGACAGCCTAAACTTTTAAACATTTGTATGCTCTGACTTTATGAACATCTAGAAACTTACACTCATTTCTCAAAGTTACTACTGTTAGGGGCTGGCAGGTGGCATGGTGGTTAAGGCGCCGGACTCCCACATGGCCGACCACGGTTTCAGTCCTAGACCTGGTGGCTTGCTTTCTCACTTTCCCTTTCTCTCTCTGTCTCTGGTCAAAATAAATAATAAGTAAATAAATCTCTTTATTTAAAGTAAAAATTGCAAAGAGCAACTTCTCTTTGTCATTCAGTAGTGCAAACATTTCTAGAAATATGTTTGGGACTATAGGTAGGCTGGCTAGAACTAGTTGAAGATTTGAGATAAGGTCAGTTAACCAAGAGAGTGTAGAGAGGAAAGAACAGAGAACCAGCCATTCAGACTTGGGAAACTCACCACTGAGAAATGGGAGGAAGAAGAGGAGTCAGGAGCTCCATCACAGGTAGGATGATTAGGAGTGGGCAAAGGTGATGAAAGACACAAGAGAATTTTTAGGGGCAGAGGAGTGTAAAAAGTTACAGGGTTCAGAGAACATAAAGAAAAAACAGGCTATTGAATTTGTAAAGGAAGTCATTATTGAAAGTGAACAAATAAAGATCAGAGTAGCCAGGGTGAAAGCCAAATTAGGGGTGGGTGGTTAAGAAATAAAGGCATCCTTTGGTACTGGCCATCTGTTTGGAAAGATAAGATGTGAAAGACTTAAGGAAAGAGGGTGGTTGTATAGATTGCAGGGTCATAAAGCTCTTCTTTTTGAATGAGAGAAATGTGTGTTTGTAGGCAGGGAGAAGAAGAAACGTGGAAAGAGAAGAGGTTTTTTTTTTTTTTTTTTTACTCTAGTTTAAGTTGGGAGATTTTTTATCTTTTTTATTATTATGGATTTCAGTTAGGAGTTGTGAAGATAACTTAATGGGGAGTGCTTGGCATATACATTTAATCTGTCTTATATCGTCACTAGTTTGGGTTGTGTTGTATTTGGATGGTCTTTTCCTGCACGGCTTCAGAGCAATCCGGCCTTCTAACTCTCCTTCCATGAGTTTCCTTAAAGCACTCATTACTTCAGCCATGCTAGATTAGTACGGTTCCCTTCTTTATTTAAGGTGACTCTTCTACCTGGTTAGTCCTTCTCCCAAGTTTCTAGATAATGTAAGTCCTCTGTATCCTTCAGGTCCAGCTGAAATGCCCCCTCCCCCCCAAGGACTTTGCCAAGGAGACATATTCTTCTGATGCCTATGAGTAACCCTTCTGATTTTCCAATCCTGTTTGAATGTTATTAATGTGGCTGTCTTCCTACTTGGATAGTGAACTCTGTAAGGTAGGGTCAAAGTCATTAATTCCATGGTACACGTGCCTACATGTAGTAGGTGTTCAGACTTTCTTTTCTGTGTTTTAAAGAATGAATGTTTCTAGAGGTGAAATTTGATAGATGTTGGATTTTAGCATAGAATATCTCCTAAAAAATATAATGACAGGGCACAAGGGAGAGGAGAGGGCTGGCCTGCAGTATAACAGTTAAATATTGTGCACAGGGAACCAGGTCTCACATGGCTGACTGCTTTTTGGAACTCAGCCTTGGCAGCTTGAAAAACTTTCTGGGCATATGTGCATGTATACCCCAAATCCAAATAGAATGGAGAAATATAGGAAAAAGGATTGTAGCATGACCACACACTCCTTCTACTCTTGGCAAGTGTGCATACTCTCTGGTACATGAACATGCACACACACACACACACACACACACACATTAAAAGAGGAGAGAATACTTACCTAACACCTCCCTGCACTTCAAAGAAAATACAAAAGTAAAATAATTACAGTCAGGTTGGTTCACATATTGTGGACAGATTTGCCTTTTCTAATGGCATTTCGAGAAAGGTGGTTCAACCCCAATACAGAACACCTAAGGGGAGACATTTGCAAAGGACCGTGTCACACACACTTCCCTTATCTGAGGAATAGAATAGGTATCTGTCTAGTCCTTTAGTATAATCATCCTTTTTTTACTCTAGTCCTTTTGTTTTTAGAATATTCAAAAAATTATTTTTAAAATCTTATCAGAGAAAGAGAGAGTGAAGTGAGAAGGCAAGCCACCAGGGCTGGGACTAGAACCATGGTTGGCCATGTCTAGTCCAGCGCCCCCATGCCACTTACTGGCCCGATCTGCAGTCTTCTTAAACTTGATCACAGACTGACGTGTTACCAATTTATCCCTACTTTCTCAAACAGGCACTTGTTAAACATGTGTCTGCTGTTACTTTTCAAAAGTAGATGGGCATGGTGGCAAAAGTAGAGAAGCTCTGCTTTTTTGGGAATTAGTAAGACAGTTTTAGGGAATGCTCAAATGAAAATATTTGTAAAAATCTTCCTTTGAGATATGAAGAACTGTAAGCTATATGGACACTAACTTCTCAGCAGTTTATCATTTCTCTCTCTCCTTTTTTGTCACACTTCAGAAATTCACATTCTTCATATTTAAGCTTTTGTTAAAAAGCTAAAAAAATTTTCTTAAATACTTATTTTACCATGATCTTTCCCTGTTTTTAAAAGTCTGTTTTCTGCTTTAACTCAGTCTCTTGTTTAATAATTATTATTCAGAAAGAGCAATTTTTAAAAATCTCTTGGCCTGATGTGTG